CCCCAAAACCCCAAAACCCCAAAACCCCAAAACCCCAAAACCCCAAATAAGCTCTAAAAAATAGTAAAATTAAAAACAATGTCCTCCCCCGCTTCAAAATCCCGAAAGAAAGTAACCCTCGCTGCCAAGCTCGGCAAGGCCGAAGGCAGGTGGACCAACGAAGAACACAAGTTATTCATAGTTGGCCTTGGGAAATTTGGGAAGAACTGGAAGAGACTGGAAGCTTTTATAGAGACCAGAACAAGCTCACAGATCAGATCCCATGCACAAAAGTATTTTAATAAGAAGGATAAGGAGCAAATGCAGTCAGAATTTTTTAGTAGGTACAAAGAGTTTAGGTTTAGAGAGACAATCCATTGATTTTGAGTCCTCCAAGAGCGGAACTGTAGGCGAGGTTGATGCCAGGAATCCACATACAGCCAAAATACCAGATTTTGACAAATAACGGCAATAAGAGATGTCTTAGTGGTGAGATGAATAGAGATGAGTTGAAAATAACTGTGAATTATCTTAGTAAAATTCGTCCAAAAGAAGAAGTGGTCTCTCCTTCAGATTCTAGAAATTGCAAAAATAAAAGTGTAATACAGTCTGAACAGTTTTCAGAAAAGGGAGATATCAAGGTCACTAAAACTGCTTTCACCAAGGTAGAGCCTAAAAATAAGAATACTCCCAATCGTCCTTTGAAGGCTACGGATATCCTTGGTTATAAGAGATTTAACAGAATATTAGAAACTTGAGAGAGTTATATTTGTAGCATTGTAGAACCTTATCTAAATTATTATGATAAAGCAGATCTTGAGAAGTTGGAATTTTCACTAGATATTCCAAGACTAGAAAATATGATCTACAACAAGCCCCAAGGAAGGAACACTCTTCTTCCACCTCTGAATGAGACAGTGGAAAGAGAGAATCGCCCAAGAGTACAGATAAAACAAGAAACCTTGGATTAGGCGCCATTTATTCTAATATTCAGCAATCTATCTAAAATTTCAATATTTTGGTATTTTAGAGGGGTTTTGGGGTTTTGGGGTTTTGGGGTTTTGGGG